TAACTTTTTATAGTCATTCATGACTTGAATAAGCTATTGTTGCTGGTTTAAATTCAAGTCTGTTTCTATTATTGTTAAAGTAGCATTTAATGATGGTTGAGATAATATCTCCAACTGTCTAAATATATCTTATTCCTTCTTACACTAGATACAATTATTTTCTTTTTCACTATGGATATAGACATAATAATCTTCTAATCTTTCTTGATAAATTCTTTCTTTTTCTTCTTGTTTAATGACTTCATCATTAATTTTTATGAGATTTTCTTGAGCTTCTATTTTCAATACAAGTTATTCACTTTGCTCTTCATGTACTGTATATAAAGGCTGGTCAACTAACTCCTCTTCTTCAAATTCATACTCTTCATTATCATCTTCAAGAGCAGAACTCTTGAGTTCTCTCTCAAGACTAATTAACTTTATAATTGACCTTTATTAAGTACAAGTGACTGAGATGATTGTAAATTCTCCTTCTACTTCAAAGTTTAAAAGTTCCTTATTCCAGTTTAAAATGACTTTAGATTGTTTTGCCTATTGATTGTCAAATAATAGATCATACTTTGCTTTTTCCATAACTAGAGTATTAATTTGTTAACTCAGATCTCCAATCTTTAATTTTAACTTTTCTATTTCTTCTAATGGTTGTTCAGACTTGTCATTTATACCTACAAGACTGATATTGGAGGGCTTATCAATCTTTCTTCCTACTTGATTTAAGAATCTGGCTGATATAATATTGCTAACTGATTCACTATCAATTATTATTCTGGTAGGTTGATCTTCTATTTTTCCTTCACAGTGAACTATATCTATTACTTTTCTGTTCTTTTTTTCTAGACTTTTATTTTCTTCTATAGTTTCAGTTAGTAATTGTTATAAAAATATTGTTGAAGACTTTTGAGATTGGCTCATACTCTGATCTTCTTCAGATATAGATTCTAATTTAAATATGAAGTATTACTATTATTAGTAATAGTGATATTAAGAGATAGAGATATTATGGACTGTTCATCTAAAAGTTATTATAGTTATTATAATAATAAATTGTTATCTGGTACTGTGGTGGTGATATTAATTTCAAGATAAGCTGGTTGTCTAGTATTCATATTTCTCTCTGTATAGCTATTAGCATAATATCTCATTTTATTATATTTGAAATATTTAATATTTAAGATATTATTATTATTACTATTATTACTATTTGTATTTTTTCTTGATAGTCTACAATTACAAGTTATGTGATTATTTTTATCATAATTATAACAAGTTTTTCCTTGATTAGGTTAATTATTAGGATTCTGATTATTTTGAGTAAATAGTCTTTTTACTTGCTTAGTTAAATTAGCTATGACTTTGCTCATATCATTTATCAGACTTAGAATGGAAAGGGAAATGTCAAGATTTTGTGACATAAGAGATATAGAGCTAAGAGAGTTCTAATATATTTGCCTGTAACTAGATTCAGTAGTAATTACTTCTGTGATTACTATATCTAGAGTATTTGGATTAGATTTATTTACATGAAAGATAATCTCTGGTTTTAAGTTCTTTACAAATTGCTTGATATAGTAAGTGGCAGAATATGCATTTATTAGATCAATTTTTCTAAGTAATGTGCAAATATCTTCTGTATAGGAGGTTACATCTTCATTTACTCCTTGCATTTTCAGTCTTAATTATTATTATCAGGCCAGAATTTGTGCATTAGTTCTAAATTACGTAACAAAAGTTTGATAAAATGAATTATTATTATTATTATCATTCCAACTGGTAGACCAATCAGCATTTACAAGTTTTCTTTATTAATATCAAGTTGATGTGATTCCTCTCAAATAGGCAGATACTATTTCTATCTTTCTTTAATTTATTATATTATTTGCATTTGCTGAGCAGGCAAACTTTTCAATCTAATTCATAAAATCTTCATGTATTTTACCACTGAAAAAGGGAAGTGGCACTGTTAATAATTTAACTTGTCTATTTTGTTGATTTTGCATTGCTTGAATAAGTGATGTGAGTATTTAGGCTAAGACTTATACAGCTTGGTTGGCCATTTCTTCTTGATTTTTTTAGAGTTATAATGGAGGTAAATCTAAAATAATGGGTTGCTAAACTTCTTTTTCTTCTGAGGATTCTTCTTCTGTTATATTTCTTGGTTGAATAGGAGCTCTTCTTCTATTTAGAAAATTGATGAAAAATGTATTGAAAGTTGAGACTGAGGTAGATGATGATGGGATGAGTATAGGAGTTCTGATAGGAATGTTAACTGAAGTACTAGATCTTGATCTCTGAGTATAGTATGTTCTCTGTTGGTTAAATATAGTAATTTCTCTATGTAGATTATGGATAATACCAAGTATTTCAGTTGCAGGGTGAGTTGAATGATTTTGAAATCAAAGTTATAATTAATATTTGCTAGTAAAAATTTCTGTTCTCAATATGTCAGTAATAAATAAATTATAAACTAATTGACATAAATCTTTTTCTTGTTAGCTAGGTAATTAAGAGGGATCAAAAAGATTAATTAATCTCTAAAGTTATCTTTTTACTTCATAATTAGTTGATTTTGTTAAATCTAGTTTGAATTATTTCTGTGATTGTCAATTTTATTTTTGGTTTTGCCTTCACAGAGGAGGTACCAAAAAGACTATTACCATTTTAAGATTATACATATATAATTATTTTAAAATATAATAATGATTGTATTCATAGCAGTTATTAACTTTTATAACTTCAAGAGATTATATGACTAATTATCTTTTCAATAAAATAATATATATGAGTTTTACTTTTAACTAAATATAATTATCTTCTTAATAAATTAATTTATATGTATTTTACTTATGACAAAAATATGATTATCTTTTCAATAAGATAATATACATAAAATTTACTTATAATAAAATACTCTCTCAATAGAGCAAGAAGAAAATAAGATAAGATATAAGATAAAATATGTGTGTTTATTAAAGAAAAATACTAATTAACTATTCTTAACTCAGTAGTAATTACTTCTATCAAACTTAATTATTCTTCTTGATCACTTCTTGACTCTCTATATATAATATTTCTTTGTTACATTAATTACAAATTATTTTTAACATGATATTTTACTTAATTTAATCAAGAACAAGTGAAATTTAAAAAGAATAATCACAAAGAATATTAAATACATGATAATAAAGAATTTAAAATTAGCGAAACATTAAATTATTCAAGATTAAAGTGAGAAATAAAAGAAAATTAATAATAATTAATTAGGAAATTATTAATTTAATAAAACTATAAATTAAGTGCAATATACATAGCTAAATTAATATTTGAATAAGATTAAATATGAGTAATAATATAAATTTAAAAATAGATTTAATTATAAATAAAATTAATTAATAAAATTACTTATTTATCTGATTTAATAGTGATCAGTGATTACTGCGCTACATCTACTATACTATATGAATAAGTGATTAGTTACAATACTTATAATATTTATTATCTTGAATAAATGAATTATATTTTTTTTAATTATTATTATTAATTAATATTTTTAATAATATAAATTTATATCTATTATAGTTATTATATTTATTATTATCTTTATTATTATTATTATTATAATAATTTTAAATAATAAGTTTATTAAGATTTACTATAAAATATATGAAATTAAGAGAGAAATAATTAAACTTAAAAGATAAATATTAGTAAAAATTTATATTAAAATCTATAAATATTATTATAAAAAAACAAATTATAAAATTAATTTAAAAAAGAAATAAATTTATAAAGAAAAAGAATAATATAAATTAAAAAATTTATAATAATTAATAGTAAAATTATTATTAATTAAAGAAAAATAAAAATAAATGTAAAATAACTAATATAAATTAAAGTATAAATATAATATTATAATAAAAATTCAAAATTAACTTTATATAATTAAAGAAATAAAATTAAGTAAAAGAAAGAATACTAATATAATTAGAAAAAAAAGTAAAAAATTATTATTATTATAATAATAAGCTTTTTAATTATATTTTTTAAATAATTTAATTTAAAATTATTTATTTTAATTTGAGAAAGCAGATTCTTTTATATATTTTTAAATACAAAAATTATTATAATATTACTAGTTAATATTATTTAATATATATAGTAATGATCAAAAGTAATGTAATATTTAAATTTTTTACTAATTATAATTAGTAAAAAATTTAAATATTGCATTATTTTTTATGATTACTATATATTATAATTTCATATAGTCTAATACAAAAAGATTAGTATATCAAATAAACATTAATATATTATTTTTTTTAAAATAAAATTTTAATTCTATCTTATTTAATTAAGTTATTAAATATTAGAATTTATTTAAATATAAAATTTTTATTATATATTTTTTATAAAAAAAATTTTACTAATATAAACTTTTTTGAATTGTTATTTTTAAATTTTACTATATAAAATTTGATTAAATTTAATATAAAAATTATATAATAAATAATTTAATTACTAAACTTTGAATCTTAATATCTTTATGATTATTAATTTAATTTTTATAAAATTTAAAATATATATTTATAAAATCTAAGATAATCTGCTTATATAGTTTAAAGTTCTAATTTTGTAAATTGATAGCAATAATATTTAAAATATCTTTTTTTTTAAAAAAATAATTTTATTTTAGTTTTTTAGTAAAGTAATACTTCATTTATTATTAAATTAAAGTATAATAGAATAATTAAAATAGTATAAAAAGTAAATTTAGATCATTTTTATATAAAAAAATTATAAAAATTAGTTATTGGTGTATCAATAATCGGGACAAAATGATTTATCATGTTTGTGGAAAGTTACTTTGACAAAACGTCTCAGTCTTATTCAACAAAATGGTTATAAAATACCATAAAGTATCACATGTTTGTGTGAGTAAAACGTATAAACGGGAGACTCTTCTTTTACCATTATCATCCACTAAATCATAAAAACATCTAGACATGGATGTAATGGACGTGGACCCACTGAGCTTATTGAAATTTACTTATAAATACAATTACTATCAAGAAGCAACTAACAAGGAGGTCCAAGAACCAACTGACAAGGAGTTCGAAGATGCATACGAAGCATATAAAGAATTCTTTTATAAATACCATCAAGACAACCCTGGAACAACCACGGATTGTTATAAGGAATATCTTAAAGCTCTTGGTAAACAAGGTAAATAACACACGTTTATTGGGATAGAGAGAAGAGTTTGAATACTGTTACTGGTTTTATGCTACAGTTGGGGTGTTATTAGTTGGCAGAACAGAGTCGTAGCAAAGGTTAGGTTACACGTAAACTCGTTTCAAAGGCAAATAAGCAAGATACGATACGTTTGGGTTAAGTAGAGTAGGAGCAATGGTACGAATGCTGTTAGAGCATGGCGTTGTTACAACGTGTAATAGGCGTTTTGTGCTATGGTGAAGGCTATATTTCTGAATTGCCTGAAAGACAGACTAATGAATATTATCATATCACTCATATATCTATTTTCATTTATCCATTTGAGCAACCTTGGTATGCTGTTTGCAACATTGACTAACTAGCGCTTCCTTCTCTCTTGTGCATGTTACACTTGCCTTCAATCAATCTTGCTTTTTTTCAATTTGTTTAGAAGATTCTAAGGCCCATAATATTATATCAAAATTGCCCGTGGAGTCCGTAGATGCAGCGTTCTTTGGTGCTTACTATGATCCACACGACTTCATTAAAAGCATTCTCGAGGATTTGGACTCGCACGTCGAAAATTGGATTAAAGAAACTATGTATGCAAACTACACCTCGGTCACACAAGCAAGCGGCATGGGAAAGTCACGGATGGTCAAACAACTAGCAGAAGCGGGGGTTTATGTTATCTATTGTTGTCTTCGGCTTTCTGGTTCTGGTTACCCACCACAATCACACATAACAAAATATCTACTTCACTCTCACGATGATTTACATTTCGTCGCCTATTTCATCGCTTGTCTGAACAAATTAGCGGATACCCCTGATACAAATTCGATTGATTGGTATAATCAGCAAATTTCTCGAGGGAATGATGGCGCAAGTCAAGAAAACGCGCGAGAATTTTGGGATGACATTAGATTACGCATGGAGAAGTTAAAGAGAAGTCTTACCGACGGTAATGCGTCAGCAAGTTTGCGACAGAGCTATGAGCGTGCCTTGAGAACATATCCCAACATTCGCAATATCCCTCTACCCAAGAATATATTGCGTATTTGTTTTGTGTTTGATGAAGCACGGTGTCTTCTACCTATCACTGAAAAAAGTGGAAGTGAGACGGCTGACAAGAACCTAGCATTTTATAACATGCGTCGCGCTTTGGTGCACTTTGATGATAAGGTTAACGTGTTT